TCGACTAAAAATGAAAAATCGTCGTACAGGTCTCAGACTTTGCCAGACGTATTTTTACATTACCTGTCCGACCGTAAGCGAATTTTTTTTCGATTTGGAGCAAGTAATGTTGGGGTGGAAAATGGCCCATAGCCACGCCAACAAGCGTCATTTCGGGTCAACGTTGGTGCCAATGTGACGTGAGGGTCAAGGTCTACCCGCATGCAAATTTTCAAGGCGCTGCGAAAACTTTCACATCCGAGTCGCATTTCACTCCTGGGTGTTGGATCGTCCTTTTTTCGACCAAAAATGAAAAATCGTCGTACGGGTCTCAGACTTTGCCAGACGTGTTATTACATCACCTGATCGACCGTAAGCCAACAATTTTTCGATTTGGAGCAAGTCATGTGGGGGTGGAAAATGGCCTATTTCAAGGCGCTGCGAAAACTTTCACACCCGAGTCGCGTTTCACTCATGCACATGGACCGAAGCTTCATTTGCTGATTGACCAAGCTACCACCTATTGTTAAACTGCATGCTTTGATTACACTGCATACTCTCTCAGCACATAAACTGCTCAGACCAGCAAAGGATAAAGAGATAATATTAAATCAGGTGAGTAAAATGGTTATAATCTCTATCTTGTGTTGTATTTAAATAATACAGTATGTTTAAAGTGTTATATAAAGTAAACTAAATGCATGTAATCTAACATAAATGTTGATTATGTCTAAATATTTAAATCTGCATAAGATAAGCTAAACACCCATACTTTATCACCAAAAATGTATCACTTCAATGAAATATGTGTGAAAGTGTTTTACTTCAAGAGTGTTTTAAAAAGCTTTGTAATGTACATATTCAGATGTGATACAGACAAATCATTGTAACTAAAATGTTCAATATATTTAATGTTAAATAGTGTTTTAGTCTATGTATTGTTTATTCAGATAATCTATGGTGTTGCCATACGTGTGGCAGTTTGGATCCACACCCTTGTATCACCCACAGGGTATGCATTGTGTTATTTATATTTGTCTAAGACTTACAATGTAATCTAATTGTGATGACCACATTTAATGTAAGATCATATCATTAATTTCTGTATTAAAGTATTGTATATGTTTTTACAGAATGTGTAAGCGTTATGTATTGATAGTGTGTATATATTAGAGTCAAAAGAAAGTCAAGGAGTTATCTCCCTTGAATGTCGGTATTGTGGATCATGTATATTACTGTATATGTTCTAGTATAATCGTTTAAGGTTCAGTCTATCGTGTGTTTAATGGATGACTGAGATATGTAAATACTTACTTGTAATAAGCCTATGCTATGTATCTAGCAGTAATGATAATGTTTTACTTAGTATTTATTGTGTAATTATGTGTTTCAGGGTGTATGATATCTAGATCCTTGATCACACTCATCGCATCGCAATAAAGTCCTCAACCCCGTGGTATGTGTTTGTTGACTCATTAAAGACATTCACTAAACTGCTACATAACCATTTACGACATACAATTAACACAGAATAAATATATTACGAGGTGCGATGTTTACATACCAATCACACATCATCTATATTTACACTCAGTTAACAATGGACCGATCCAGTCTGTCAATCAAAATTGGCGCATACGTCAGTTTGAGCCAATCAGAAGGCCGGGCGCGCTTTGCGGATTTGTCAGACTTACATGTACTTCCGGGGTCAAACGATACCCGGGAAGCGACATGGCTACTGTTTGTGCTATTTTCACTCGCAATAGCCTTTCTATGAAGAGATAGGACCCATACAGTAATGAATTACCTTATCCTATTCTTGTGAATTGGAATCATCCCTTCAAGGTTAGAAAGAAGAGGAACATTTCGTGAGAAGGAAGTGAATTACTGAAATATTTTTACAGATTGAATTAAAAAGAAAATCTTAGTTGATATAAGAAAATTATTGGTTTAGAATTATTTGCAACATAAGTTATTCACTGGTACTTGAAACTTAATGATATACATTTTAGTGAAACAATATAATTGTTTAAAACGATTATAAGTGTCGAGTCATTTTAATTAATTTACTGGAAATAATAGCAAGTATTTTTAATGAACTCAGAGTAACATGGGCAAGTAATGATCTAAATTATAACCTAATCAAGTTATTGATAAATATTCCAACGAGTTTTTTAATTGATGTCGTATAAAAGTATGATTAATATGATTTAATTGCACTAACGAACACTAAATGTTTGATGGTTCAACATCCACCTGATATAAAACTTAGCTTGTTGGCTCTTTCTATAGGTCATAATATTATTAAAATATTTTTAAATAATATATTATTAAAAAAAGATAGTGTTGAAAGTGATTACCTGTATCATAACGCATGATATTTATTTTAAGATACAAAGAATTTGTAATAACAAAGGCAGCATTTCTTTGTCACCCCTTGATCAGGCATTATCCAGAGAACCTGATCAATTCTGATATATAACTGTGAATATTGAATGTATTTAACCCAAATTGTAATTATTTACCTTGATTTGAGGAAATTGTCAATATTTGATAATTAAGTTTTGGTTATGATTATTTTGAGAATAGGCTTTATATTTACTTCACAGTGATTTTGCTGTCTTCAGGACAATTTCAAGTGGTTTGTTTATCTTTTGATATGACTTTACAAAATTTTAGAACAACTTTAGGACATTATTGATGACAATCAGTCAGTATCCTAAAATAGGAACTGGTCTGAATCCCTGTTTGTGTGTATTATTTTATTTGAGGAAAAGTCATGTTCACACCAGTATTTTCGAAGCATACTTGGGATATATGTTTAAATATATAATGAACTCCAGGTGTCCAGGAACCTGATATTTTGCATTTAAATGTATGTTGTTTCATGCATAAGTAGGTGAGGTGAAATGGGGTTTAACGTCGCGTCCAAGATTATTGCACTTATATAGCGACGTGCATGTACGTGTGTGTTTGTGTGGCTGCTTGTACTAGTCCGGACTGATGCCGATTTATAGTGCCAGCTCACTGAGATACCATGCCGCAGTTCAACATGAATACCCCACTCAGACACAGTATACTGACTCCGAGCCGACCAGTCCTTGTTTTAGACCCTTAACGCCGAGCGCCAGACAGGGTAACGAAAAGTACCATCTTTTAACGTCTTTTGGTATGACGCGGCCGGGGATCGAACCCCGGACCTTCCGCTCTCCGCGCGGACGCTCTACCACCAGACCACGGATTCGGTCTCATGCATAAGAAATACTTGTTACTTCACATCTGATTTTAAAAATGATATATATATTATTTGGTGTTATGTCCTATATGCATGTGGTTTCTGGAGCAATAAAAGAATTATTTCTTCTTAGTAAGTAACAGTCATGATGTCAACAGGTAATTTTGTTGATTAAAACTTCTGACATATATAAATCTTTGGATGGCATTTAGAAGTGATACATAAAAGAAAGAGAATTTAAGGATGGTGGTCTTCCTCATAATTAAGAAGTTGACATCCATAAATTCTCTTCCTAATGAGATATCTGTTGTACTTAAGTTACATGTTTAGTTGGTAACAGTTATAATTCTTGGATTCATGACAAGTCTTTTGAATAAAAGATCATATATGTATTTTAATTTGTGTTGTAAATTTTATCAATGCAAGTTAATTTTTGGGAAGTACTGCAGACCCTGTCTTCAAATACTTTTACCATCGCAGGTTTCCCTTTTCTGGAACATGGATCCGACTGATTTGATATAACCATGCAAGCACAGGTGCTCATTCTATCTTGGATCCTCTCAATGTTTTCAACTGTTTTCACATCAATATACCTGAATACTGACAGTTTATTAAGTCCAATATTCTGGAAGTGTGACCAGGGATTTATATCTAAATTTAGAATTTCAAACTAAGTGCCCTTGGCAAACAAATTGGGGAAAAAACTAATAATATAATTTCCTTACATTCTGCATTATTTTAGGATGGCATAGACATGTTAAAACTTGGGAAGAGGGACAGTTTACCGACATCTGATGCAGATTGGGGGCTGAATATCATCCTCTGAGCAGGTCTTGATTTATTCCAGGTGACATGCCCGACCCCATATTCCCGATGCCCAAATAAAATAGATCTATACGTTATGATTGATTTATAATATAATAAAAACCAATCTACCAGTGAGGGGAAATAATGTACTGCTTTGATTTTATCAACTATTCCTTTATGTTTATTCATTAAAAAGACCCACTAACTCGATGCCTTTCAGGTTATATTGGTTTTACTTAGAGCACCAGACACAAATACGTGGGCAATGTAACTGTTGACAATCTATTTATTGCTGAGTGCCATTTATAGATATCAACAGGATTTGTAACCCGTGCTTGTGTTTACGGTTTCCAGTACTGTCCATACACTTAAATTACGACGTAAAGTAAGAACAAAATTTAGTTACTCCGCCCTTGGATGAATAATATATTATTCACATGCTGTAAATTGACAATATAGTATGCTCTGCCTGACATGAGTGCTTCGAAGTAGTGCACGCTTCTAACTTTCAGCCATTGTGACTTCCTCATCGACCGATACACCATTACATCGGACTTATGACTCATTCTCAACCCCGATATGCAATTTGACAACTAAAATAGAACCCAAAACAGATCATGTATAACTCTCTTTAGATATTTTTGACACACAACTGGTAACAAAGCATTCTTAGTCAAATTCATCGCCCGCGCATTCAGGTTTCGCCGGCTATGACGCCATAGCGAATAGCCAGTGGTTGTCCCCCCAAACGCCGAAAACGAGGACGGCAGCTTGTGGACGGGACTGGATCGGTCTATTGTCCAATTGTTCCAATCATAACAAATGACAAAATGTCCCACAATCTTTTACCAAGATGTATTCAACTTCATTAACAAAAAAAACAAGTTTTATCTTAAAACTGAAATATAAACAACATGAGCGACGACGCCACTATCGGTACCAACTGTTCGTCACTGTCTGCACAAACACTACATTGATTTCAGGGAGCGCCGCGGGACACCAGCAGTCTCACCACACGTCCATGTCCCTCGTCTCTCGCCACGTCGGCCGCAGTCCACCCTTTCTTGTTCCTGGCGTCGATGTCCACCACGTTCAAAGACAGGAGAAACCTCACCATCCTCACGTCTCCTCTACGACAGGCTAAGTGAAGGATGGTGTCACCATAATCGTCCACCAGTGACACGTCAGCTCCTTTAGTCACAAGGAGCTCCACCACTTTTCCGTTTCCGTTTGCTGCCGCCATCACCGGTGTCCTGTTCTTCATTCCTCTACTCTTGTTGAAGTCCACTGCGTTCAGAGACAGGATATACTTCACCGTCTCAATCTCTCCCCCATAACAGGCTAAGTGAAGAATGTTGTCACATTCATCGCCCACCAGTGACACATCAGCTCCCTTACTAATAAGGAGCTCCAAAATGTCTCTGTTTCCCTCCTCTGCTGCCTTCATCAACGGTGTCATGCCTTTCACTCTACAGTTGAGGATGTTTACCCCTGTCTTTGACAGGATCTTCCTCACCTTCCCCAGGTACCCATTCTCGCAGGCGTAATGGAGTCGGCGGCAGACTGCTGTTGATGGAGACATCAATATTGTTCACACCTCAAAGTGTTGATACGTTACACGAACATTGATACACCCATGAACACTTCCAACATGTCTGACAACAATACAACGATTAACGAAATGACGACAGCTGGTTCATGTAATTCAGGATGATGTATAACATGTTTAAAATCTTTCTGCTGCATCAAGTTGTTGTATCATTATTCTCTGTTTGACAGGAGTAAACTTTTGTTAGCCTGAGCTTTATAAGATGATAATGTCCGTACAATTGCTGTTTGAAATTAGTAGAATAATATGACATTACACTGGTTTTATATCAGCATGTTTGTTGTTTTACGGCGTACTCAGCAATATTCCAGCTATATGATGGTGGTCTGTAAATAATGGAGTCTGGTCCAGACAATCAATTGATTGACATCATGAGCATTGATCTACGACAACGCAACCGATTCCCCACGGCTTTGTACATGTGCTTCTTACTTGTAGAGACTGTTGGAATGAAGGGTTAATGAGTAAGTTACCATCTGCTGGGTTCTCCCACCTACCCTGTGAAGCAGACGTTTGTGTCGTCACTGGGAGCAGTGAGACCCTCTCGCTATGGCTCGGATGCTGACTCGGGTCACTCGAGGCTGAAACACAGAATATGCTATTCAGAAAACTATATATTGCACATATAACATACTGAACAACAAAATTCGTGTGACATTAAATAAGATTTAGTGCAAAGTTATGTTTTTTACCAAATCTGAAACAGTTTCGGTTTGCAACAGATAAATGACTCCTGTAAGTGTTCAAATGGTTTAACTTGCCATACTGACGGTGGAACACCCAATTCAAGTAGGTATAAACAAACTTTATGCTATAAAAACCAACAATAGGGTATACCTACTTGGGTTGCCATTCGAGACAAGACGAAGTTATTTTGCAACGATGTCGTATTGGACACAGTCGATATACCCACGAGTATCTTTTAAAAGGTGAGGATCCTCCATTCTGTCTCCCATGTGATGAGAGAATTACAGTCAAGCATATTTTACTTGACTGTGTTGATTTTTCTCTCATAAGGGACAACTATTATCATTCAACATCTTTAAAGGAACTTTTTTATAATATCAGTGCTGATTTAATTCTCGTTTTTTAAAAAGAAATACTATTATTTATAATTTTTTAATCGTTTTAGAATAGTTGGATATTATTGTCAACTGAGATGTATGAAGGCGGTGCCACTCAGGGGGTTAAAGTAGTGTAAAATTATTGTCCCCCTGACAGTGGCACATGAGTCCATTTATATTGAAGTAATTAATATCAACTAGTGTTTTAATTCCTTGATTGTATTTTGATTTTTAATATTGGTTAATATTTCGTACAACCACTCGTTACCAAAGTGATCCTGCTGGAATCATGCAGGAAGCAAAAGCACTGTAAGTCCCCATGATCCCCAGTCAGGTGGTCTAGCTTTGGTTATTAGTGGTCTATAGCCATATTTAAATTGATAAGACTTAATCTATGTATAGCTATATGGTTTTTAAAAATTATGATCTGGTTTGTTTTATTAAAAACTGTGATAAACCTTACTATTTTACTGTCCTTTGTCGACAGATATTTTAAATCTAATACCTTGTTCCCATCGCTATATGACTGAAATATTGCCGATGCGATGTAAGATTTAACTCACTCACTCACTCAGAAAATGCGTGATTTCATAAAAAATATGAACATGCCAAAATGTCAATTTACAAATCAATAGCGTCTGTGTCCTCCTCTGGTTGCGATGCAAGCAACAAATCTTCGTCTCATGGAATGGACCAGGCGCACAAAGTCCTGTGGGATATCTGTCTGTATCTGCTGGAGCATGTTTCGTAGTTCCTGGTGTGTCTGTGGAACACGTGGTTGACGTCGAAGGCGCCGATCCATCTCATCCCACATGTGCTCGATTGGTGAGAGGGGAGCGAGCCGGTCAGGGGATGACATTCACGTTGTTTTTTTTAAGAGAATCCTGAACAAGTCGAGCAATATGAGGCCGGTCGTTGTCATGTTGAAAGGTGATGCCTGGGCCATGACGACTCAAAACCGGTAGAACAACGCGGTAGCGCTGTCCGTTGAGATTTCCCTCTACCACTATCAAACGGCTCCTCTGTCTTGCTGTAATCCCACCCCATACCTATAACGCTGCCGCCCCCGAACCGATCCTCTTCCATGACACAATGATTGACGTAACGTTCACCTCGACGTCGGTACACTCGAATCCGTCCATCGCTGTGGCTAAGGTGAAAACGAGACTCGTCAGTGAATAGAACTTGTCCCCACTGCATGGCCGTCCAGCGTAGACGCTGTTTCCACCACTGTAGACATGCTTGACGGTGGTTTCCTGTCAAAATGGCGGGTCTTCTGGCGACAATCCCTGCACATCTGAGGCGGCGACGTACGGTTTGTGAACATTTTCGTCGAAGGCCAGGGATGCTTCTTGCAGTCACTGTTAATGGCTGGAATCGATTTCGTCTTGCAACATCACGTTGACTCGATCCTGCTTCAAGCATACCAATGGCTCGCAAACGCTCATTTTCGGACAGGCGTGGCTTTTCGTAATGTTGAATAATTGCGTAATTTTGTTGTTTTTCTGAAACGTTGTTGTCAGCACGATGCTAAACAATGCATATGGAATCCCGTTAACGCACATGTTTTATACCAAATTTTGGACATTGAAATGCATGGGGCTTGCATAAAAGTCAACTTCTGCATTGAATGCTTGCTTTTCTGTAGCAGCTGCGTTTTTGTGACTTGATTCCCTACATGTACTACAATACTGAAAACCAAACTTTACTGGTTTGAAAAATACACTAAAATATTGGTGTCACAGGATCTTTTGTTGTTGAGTATACATTCTGGCCACAGACAAGTTCTTGCCTTTCGACAAATATGTTGCCTTTTAAAATATTCACTGATGAATTTGATTTAAATACATTCGTTATAGGGGAGGTATAAATATAAGGTAACTTTGTGATTGACAAATTCCTTAAAGTAGATTCAGACTGTTCTTCATCTATCCCATGCATCTATGTCGTAAGAAAAAACACTTCCTTAATCTAATTTCTAAAGTTTGAATCAGAGTGTATTATGTTGCACACTGCCTTTGTGATAATTACCGAGATATATTGCTTATCTTTGTTAAATGTTGTAGTAACTGAATAAATTGTTATTTTGGAACATGAACAAACATCATTCATGAACATTTTGCTACTTCAGTGAAATCAAATCAAATCAGATCTTAAATACAATAAAAACAAGAATATGTGCAGTCATTACTGTATTGGGACACCCGATGAGCTCTTACACCAGATACCTGCTCATTATAACAAATTATGGAATGATAAGTATTTTAGTTTAAATTAATTAATTGTGGGAGGTTTTGTTTTGACAAGGAAATGACCCCCTCAAGTTGTTGCGGTATTGCGTTGCAGCAGAATGTCTATATGGCAAACCTACATAGTACACACAGGCCAAAAAGTAAACATTGTTTTCTGATTTTCATTGTTTTCTATGTTGTCCCTGTGTATTTAAATAATACTCAGACATGTGTCTGTGAGATTGAAAATCAATGCACAGCGTTATATATTTTGTCAAGAAGGATATGACACCCACCAGTGTCGTACTAGTGGGAAAGATATTTATCGTGCATTTCACCGTCTATTGTAATGAGAAGATAATGTCCATGACAACTGTCTTGATGGCTTGTCTATGTCCATATAATTACAGTGTTACAACTTGACACTAGCCTGCTTGCCCGGGGCTGGTACAAATTCCTGCAGGTGAGTCGAATGTCCTCTTGTTTTAACATAAACAATTACAAGAGCATTTTATCCTTCTATGGGCTGGTAAAGCTTTTAAGTTCAGTTTTAACCCTTTAAATGCATGTATTATGCGAGCAGAAAACACAGAAATACACTGTAATAAATGTAAGTACAGCGACGACCTATCTACATTAGTAATTGTTCCTAGTGACTTTTCTAGATGTTTTAACACTGAAACTGTTGCAACTATTTCTTCTTGAAGCGAAACACCTGGCATGTTACGATATGTCTATGAAAACACTGCCATGGTTTCAATAGTCAACAATCCCTTTTAACATAAGAATAAACAGATCTTACTGGAGGTCTATGTTTTCTAATATAGGAATATGATCGTTCTGTGGACAAGAGAGCATTATGTAGGCGTAATTAAAATAATATGTTTAACGTTTGATGAGGAGTTTACTTACGGCAGAATTTATATCGTTTGGTGTGTCGGGTTATACATGAGATTTTCGGTAATTTCCTAACATCAAAGGTATAAATATAGGATGACAATGTAATGCGAAACAGGTCTGCTTGACCCTGCGCTTGTGGAACACAGTTGTATTTCCGTGTCAGGCAAACTCTGTAGCTTTGTTTGTAGCACTGTCATAATTTGAACATACCCAGTAAGGGCGGTAGTACAATCCTCACAGATCAGCTAACTATCTGAGACAGAAACTGTTGCCGACACAACAGTACTTTAGATGACGTTTGGTTGGAAAACCATCAAGGGTACAAACACGTGGCAATTACTAGGATATGGTGACAAATACGACTGCCCGTGTGATAGGCACCGAATTGTTTTTGCATTTGTCCGTTTTAAATGAGTCAAATTAGTAACAAAAATTAGAATCGTGCACACGTGTTCCACATTACCTTATCATTCTTTACAAAAATGTTGTTGCAGAAAAACGTTTGTTCCACATAATATTGCCAGCATATTAATAACAGAAAGCTCTAGAGATCACCGATTTAAAATGTTGTTGGAGACCGGCATTGAATTAATTGCAAAAGGTATTATGTTGCTGTGAAACCACGTTGGTTATTAATAAATCGACACCAACAATAACGATATCTGAAATATTGTCTCAAACAAACGATCCAGAAAAACAACACTTTTTGCCATGATTAGTACTTTGGTTTTATAATCATTGGAGCTAAAGCAAAGCCCAAATGGCAACTGAGTATAAT